AAGGCTATAATAAGAACCATATTGTATAAGAAATTAAATGTAAAAAATAAAAAAAAGGATATGTCAAAAAGACATAAGAATGACTTGAAGAAGCTCCCACTGGCCAACTGTGTGACAAATGAACATCGACATATATATCATAAAAGAAAATATAGGATTATAATCCATAGAAGGAACCTGGCAGACATCACTTTAACCAACAGATGAAAGTTAATAGCACCAATAATGGAACGAATGACATCACTACCTCTTGATACGATGCACTGAGGACTTAGCATCACTTCAGAGGTAATCCTGTTCAAAATGTATAACCTGAGTCCAATAATGAGGAAATACCAGAGAAAGCCAAATTAGATGGAATTATAGAAAATAACTGCACTGTACTTCATCAAAACTATAAAAATGTCACAAAAGACAAAGAAACACTAAGATTCAATTTTAAAAGTTCCCAGATCTTTTAAAAATGAAAGACATGAAAACTAAATGCAGTAAGTGATCATGACTGATTCTTTAATAATAAAATAAAATAAACATAAAAAATATTATTGAGAAAATTGGAGAAATCTAAATAAGGCCTACAGATTAAATAGTAATATTAAATCAATGTGACTTGCTGATTGTCATCGCTGTACTGTGATTGTGTAAATGCTTTTGTTCTTAGGAAATACACGCTGAAGTATTTAGGCATAAAGCAACATGACATATTGCAGCTTACTCCCAAATAGTTCTTTAAAAATGTGTGCGTGTGTATATGCATACGTGTATGTGTATAAATACTCAGAAAAAGAGAGAAAATAATAAAATGTGTGAAATGTTAACAATAGGTGAGTCTGGATGAAGCCCTACTCTTAGAACCTTTTTGAAATCATATCCAAATAAAAAAAATTTTTAAAGTCCTAATTAATAAAAAAGATGATGTGATAAACAAACATTTGAAATGGCCTTGGAAAAAAGGTAAGAGTTGCAAACACTTACGCCATATATACACACCTGTCTGTATTCATATTAGGCTCAGAGTTTAGAGAGCTATCCAACTCATTCTCGCTTTCTCCTGATTGGCTATTAACCGTTCCTTCTTCTCCTTCATCATCTACTTCATTAAGAGCCTATCTCAACACAACAATAAAAATAACAACACAAGTTGATTACATATACATTCATGCTTTCTTTATTTTTGTTGTAACAGAAGAGAGGTCCCTCTTTCTGAAGCTAATCCTTCTACATGTGTTGTAGAACCCAAACCCTCTCACATCTTTCTACTGCATCAATTGTCCTTTTTCTCTCCTGTATCTTCAACCTCTTTCTGTACTGGCTTCAGTTCATCAACATTTAAATGTGAGCAAAACCTCTCCTATCTTACCCTGACACTCACCTTGAGCTCCTGTCTATCTCCTCTCTCTCCTTCACCACCAAACTTCTTGAAAGAGTTGTTTCCCACCTTTCATTCCCCATCTACCTGCAATTTTGCTTCTGCCCTACCACTCCACTCTTAACTGCTCTCTGTATGGTCAACATCAACACACTTATTCCAAAATCAAATGGGTATTTCTGTCTTTACCTTCCTTTACTTCTTTGACTCATTAGATTTTAATGACCACTCATTTCTTTCCTCTAAAATCTTCTTTATACATTTTGCCCTTAACTTCCATAAAACCATATTTTCTTAGATTTTCTTCTATTCTTCTGGCTATTCTTTCCCAATCTCCTTTATTGGTTCTCCTTTTTCTACCTTTCCTTTATATATGATGTGATTCAATATACTCCCTTTGAACCTTTTCGCCTCTCATCTGACCCACATTCTGAATGATTTTATCTCATTCCAAAGTTGCTGTTAATTTCAAAATCTCCATCTCCACCCAGATCTCTCTTGAGACCTAGACATATTCAATTGCCTAAAAGATATCCCTATTCGATATGTCCAAAACCGAACATCTTCCTAAGTCTCTCCCAACATTCTTCCAGAAACCTTGTTCCTGCCAATATTACCTAAGACCATGAACAGTGTCACCATCTACTCAAATACTCCAGCTAGCAAACTAGGATTTATCCTTCTCTCTCACTTGTCATATCTAATCAGCCACCCAAACTCTACCTTATTTTAACCCCTTTCATATCTATCCCTGTTCTCCTCTATTTCCTTTCCTACTGGCACTGCTTTCGGTCAGGCCCTCACCACTTCTCACTAAGATCCCCACCTAAGTCTTCTAACCACACCCTCTCTCCAGTCTTGTCCCTCCTCAATCCATCTTCCACACCACAGTCGATCTCATCATGACTCTACTCTTCTTTAAGTTCTTTAGTGGCTTCTACTCTTACTTTCTGGTTCCTTAGCCCTTCATGATCTAGCTCCAGCTTGTCTCAGCTCTTGCCATGTCCTCAACCCAATGACAGAGACATGCCTTATTCATCCACATAGCCCAGCATCTAGTGCAGGGCCTGATATATTACATGATGAATAAGTAAATTTAGTCTCACTCATTCCTATTACAGATGAAGAAACTAGGGTCCAGAGAACTCAAGTAATACAGCTACAATTTCATATTTTCTTGGTGACTCAAAACTACCTATGGCAATATATCAATTTCTTTTCTGATGTATAGTGGTCCTCTGCTTATCTATTAAGGTGTCTTCTCTCTCCTCCCTCACTGTCATTTCTCACTGCTATTTCTGATTTACTCTGAGAAGCTCATCTCACTGTTTTTAATCTATTATCAGCAGTAAATTGAGAAAGAAATTAAACCGGGTAGGCAAATTAGTTATAACAGTAACATTAATTTGAAATTCTACTATTATATTAACTTAATAAGCTCAGGTGTGAGGATGGACTCCTCTGTTCAACAGAATAAAATCTGACTGCTTTATTCCATACTGCTAGGATACATTGTACACTTGTTTCCAGGTTCCAAATGATAGGAAGTGCTTAAAGTATGACTGCCAAATAAACAGGGCACTACACTGTATGATTTATTTAAATAAAAGTTATAAAAGTAAAAGTAGAACATACTACAGCAATAATGTTAACGTTTTACTACTGTAACATAATTTTCCCACGTTAACTAGTCAATAAATTCCAAGTTTCCTGGGCAGCTACCTTTTACACATACTAATACATTAAAAGGGACTATTATTTAGTGAAGATTAATTATGCCAAACACTTTACATAACCTATCTTAGTTCACCCATGTCACAACCATATCAGGTATAATTCTATTCCCATTTAACAAAAAAACAAACAAAAAACATTCTGTGCCAACTCAGACATCTTAAGAAATCAACTCAAAATCAAATAGCAAGTAGCAGAATATGAACCCAGATCACCTGACTCCAACTGGAAAGACTCCCTGCTATTTCCATAATGATAACTTGTGGCAATCTTGTGCAGCCACATAGCCTAGATTTGAATCCCATCTTTGACGAAAACTATGTGATCTTGGACAAGTCACTTCATTTTTCTGAGCCTCAGTTTCTTCATCTGTCAAACAGGAATAATAACACAACCTACACTTCCTAGGTAAGCACTCAATAAATTTTAGCTATATTAATCCAGTCTTGTTTAGGACAAACATTACTCATAAAAAGTGCAATATGTTTGAGTAAGAGCAGTTAAGATTTAAACTCTTAAAATGTTTATCACAATGCCTACATAGACTAAAACTTCATTTCAGCATGAACATTATAGCTGTTAGTAGAGCACATTACCTGAGGTTCTATGACAGATTCATTAAGAATAGCCTGGGTGATAGGATCTTGATTTACCACAATGGGACCCTGTGAGGAATCAGGAGCCATTGTTATGTTTGGAAACCCTGCAAAAGAAAAATAAGTCATCATGATTTTGTATCATTTAATTAAACTGACATCACAAGCTCTACACTACCATAGGTTTGCATGATCATGTGAAAATCTCAAATAATAACAATAATAGCAGCTCACACTTATACAGTGCTTACTATATGCCACATATTGTTTTAAATGCTTTTACAAATATCAACTCATTCTACCCTCACAAAACCCTATGAGGCAGGTACTATTATTATTTTATAGATTGGCAAACTGAAACTCAGAGACATTAAGCAACTAGCCCAGAGTCACACTAATAAATGGCCAAGCCAGAATTCAAACCTTGTACTAAAAACTAATGATCTAATTTTGAAAGATTAAGATAAACAATGGATTATATATACATTAAAATGAATAATGCTATGTATCTGA